GCCAGACCAGCTGCAACGCCGTGTCCTGACCCAAGGCTCCTGGGATGTCACGCCGCAGCCACCAACCCGAGCCTGGCGACCTGATCGAGATCGAGCGAGGAAGTTACCAGCACTGGGCCCTCTACGTGGGGGATGGATATGTCATCCACCTGACGTCTGCAGGTAAGGCTGGTGAAGCCTGGCAGGGTGCAGAAGGGGTGCTGGGGTGCCTCAGGAGCCCTGTCTCCCTCTGTGAGCTGGTGGTGGACCCACCCTGTGTATGTAGATGGCTTTTCCAGGAGCAGCCAGGAACCCATCTGAGGTCTTGGAGGGGCTGGACAGGTTCTGCCTGGTTTATCTCCTTCCTGCCTTTCCCCCAGATGAAGGGACCCCATCCCTGTCGGTGAGCACTACCTCAATATTTACAAGAAGGGCCAAGGTGAAGAAGCAGCTCCTAAAGGAGGTGGTGGGAACTGATGAGTGGGAGGTCAACAATAAGTATGACGACTCCCGCACTCCCCTCCCCATGGAGGAGATCATCAAGCATGCTGAGAGCTACATTGACAGGGAAGTGACCTATGATGTGCTCGGCAAAAACTGTGAGCACTTTGTGACAATGCTCCGCTATGGCAAGGGGGACTCCAGCCAGGTAAGTAACATGAGATGAGCCCCTGTGTGCCTCACACAGCACCTCCTTGCTGCTCCCTGTGAGCCCCTGGACAGGGACACAGCCCCCAGACTGTCTGAGGACAGCCAAGTCCTATGTGTGGGGTCCAAACCAGCACTGCCTCTGGCCTCACCACAGACCCTGGACCAGAAGGGTCACTGTGGTCTGTCTGCACCCTGACAGTGCCCTCTTAGTGAGTGCCACAGCCTAAAGGTAAAACCCTGGGTGTTACCCCTTCTGCTTATAGGGCAGATGTCCCTCATTCTTTTAATTTCCCTGATTATCCCTGCCTGCTTTTCATTAGCATGCTTGGGGGTAAATATAATTGCTTATTTTGTTTCCAGCCTGTGTTTTCCTTTCACTTTACAGGTCAAGAGAGCAATTCAACGGATAATCGTGTTTGCTAGCGAAGTAGTCGCTTCTGCAGTTGTTGTTGGTGCGGCTGTGACTGCTATTGCTGTTCCTGTTGTTGGTTCTGTTGGTGCTGCTGTTGGTGCTGTTGTTGCTCCTGCTTCAGGTGCTGCTGCTGGTGCTACTCTGGGTGTCAAAGTTGTGAAGGCCTTGTTGTTGAAGGCATTCAGGAAAAAGAGAAAGAGCAACTGATGGGCCATTTGTAAGACCTCCAAGCAAGGCAGGGAGCCCCAGGCTGTGGGTGGTCATTCCCCAGTATTTGCCACACCTGATACCAAAG